CGCGAATATCGCCGGTCACTTCATCCTCATACGTAATTTCCTTTTTGATATCTTCGTAGTAAATGTCAATTTCATCGTAAGGTTCAATTTTTACCTTCTTATCAATGTTGTCCATATCATCGTGGCAATCCATAGAGTACAAATTATTAACTTGCAGTAACTTAACATCTTCAGGCACGTTTTCCCGAATATCGTCGGTCACGTTATCCTCATTCACGATCTCTGTTTTGACATTTTCGTAGACAAGGTCGATTCCATCATCACGTTTTATTTTCATCTGTTTATCAATGTCTATCATATCATCATGGTAATCCATAGAGTACAGATCAGTATTAGAACCATTATCGGACTCACTGAATACTTTATCTTCATGTGGTTCAACTTTTACTGAGTTCAAACCCAGAATGACTTCATCAGGAACATATTCATTTGTTTTCTCAATTGTCATTTCGTATTTACAGATATCCATTGTTAAAGTGTATAAAAACACGAACTTATCTAATATACAAAATATATAAACCAGTACAACGATTATAATTTTCAATCAGAACTGACCTCAGTCTGTTTATCTCAGTCTATTTATATGAAAACTAATATGTACCTGTGAATATTACAGAATATCTTTTACCTATACAGGTACCTCTGACCTGTTGCCTGTTGGTATATTATTCTCTTCAATACACTCGGTTATTAATGATAATAATAATGAGTTTATTTACCATAATGCTCACGACATAAATATTATAAAGTTGCAGGGTAAACAAAATCATCGCCATACAATGGCTTCTTCGGTCGTATGTTTACTGACTCAATTTTACATATTCAATGCTTAATATATCTAATTTGAAAATTTGAAGTACTTGAAATTTAGGTGTCTCCAGTATGACTCTTTTCGTGAACTTTCAAATGAGTTTTTTCAGCGAAAGATTTTGAATAGATTGCGTATTGAAATTGCTTGATTATAAGTAAGTAAGTCACGACTAGCATAAACTACACTGATATTCCATAATAGTAGGCACTGAATTCTCAGAAATAGTATTGCATTATAACAAAAATCTTGCTGTCAGATCATTTAAAGGAACAATTCGTTCAGGCCAGTCTCAACTCCCTACACTGTAGATTAATGGACTGACATCTATCAGAAAACAACTACTCCAAGTATACCCGCTGACTATATGTGAAAAGTTTTCTTATTGGTCAAATTTCGGATATGCGGTTGGTATCCTTGTTCACAGGTAGATGGGTCGATAACAAACCTGTTGTTTGTTGTCCGTTTCAGCCTCGTTCGAGGAATGATACTCTGAAGAGTTCAATTTTCAATTATATCGGAGATTATCGACTTTATGTTGATGACGAGTGGCCAAGCAGCCCAAAACCGGTCTGGAAGTGTGTTCCAATACTTGAAATTTTATTACTTAGGTGAAGAATCCTGTGCTGACACCTGTCGGATATAATCTAACTCCCTTCGTGGTTTTAGCCAGGAAAGTAGTGTTTTTATGATAGGTTTCAGTCCAATGATCTACAGTGTAGGAGTTGAGACTGGCCTGAATGAATTATTACATATCAATAACTTAGGTTTCGTTGAAAAGAGGAAAATGACAAATAAAACTGAAATGAATATAATGGATTTTAAAGAACAGTATACCAACTAGTATTTGATTCTATCAACTTACTTACCTGCTTACTATATAAAGATAGTATAGCTCTATTTGTGAACTTTAAGAGTACTATTTTGGGTGATAGATTTTGAACAGATTGTATATATGAATGGTTTTTTCCAGAATAGCTCCTTTCGTGAACTGTCAAAGCAGTTTTTCGAGCGAAAGATTTTGAACAGATTTTACACTGAAACGATTTTTTTCCATATGACTTGGTTCGTGAACTCTCAAATGAATATTTTCAGCGAAAGATTCAGTATTTTACAAATTTCTATCTACAGTGTTATCCCCAAATAATGCACCATATGGAAACTTATTTATTAAGGGTTTTTCGACAAAAAGTTATTCTTGATAAAAGTTTGTGCATCCCCTAAAACTAAACACACCAACGGAACAACAAATTTTTTTTAAAAGAAATACAGTATATCGCCATGAATGACATTCTGAAAGAAAATAAATCACCAATGAAAGCATGTCTTTATGCGGATGACCTGGTATTCTTCTGCAAAAACAAAAATTTAGACATTTTATTATCATTGTCTCAGGAAGCACTCTCGAACCTAGAGCATTGGTCCAATGAAACTGGATTCATTTTTTCAACAGAAAAAATACAATGTATTCTCTTCTTTAAAAGAGAAACGGCCAATATACCACCCCTCTACCTATATGGGCAAAATCTTAAATATGTCAAAACCATAAAGTTCATGGGTATGATATTTGATGACAAACATAATTGGAATGCACACATTAAAAGCCTAACCGAATCGTGTACCAGAAGACTGAATATGTTGAAAACGTTAGCACATAAAGAATGGGGATCTGACGGTCAAACAATACTGCACGTTTACAGAACACTCATCAGATCTAAAATGGACTTTCGATATATTGCATACAACTCTGCGAACAAGACAACACTCAAGTTACTCGACACTATCCACAACAAAATCTTACGAATATCTTTAAATGATTTCTGTACAACACGAGTTGAAAGCATCTACAGTGACCCCCCATGGCGACGGCCCTAATTGCATCGTACCTAAATGAAAGAATTTTTCGTTAACTGCACCAGACAAAACTTTTATTTCACTGCCAAGTAACTTTAAATCACGATAGTTATGGCAGCGCGCTATGCCGAGGGCCGACTTTGTATACGCCAAGGGGACACTTTTTGTTGCGAAGATCATTTTAACGTATATATGAATGATAATGATTAGTAAAAAAATTATAGTTTACTATAAGACTTAGAAAAACATAACAAAACTATGAAAGTGGGAAAATTCATATTGAAACGTGGTAATTCCGCATATATTTGATTGCCAGATTGATAGACCGACGGCCCATACATCTAAATCTCCACAGTTTGTTCAAAAAAAAGAAAAAAAATTGTTAAATACTTGTAACGAAGATATCGCTGAAAATCAAAGCATGTCTGATTAAGCAGGTACCTTTGATGTTGGAATTCAAGTTGATAAACAGGTTTTTCGAAGATCAAAAGCTACACAGACCGTAAATATTATATACCAGCGAAAGCGAAATCGTTCTAAAGAAGTAGAAAATACAAACATTAAAGCATAAAGCAGCCTCATAACATATTTTCAAACGATTTTAACTATTTATTACGGAAATTATAATGTCTAATATAAAAAACACATAGGAAAAATTAAATTGATAGAAACATTTGAGTATCGTAGTGGCCGTGGTAGTGGACGGATGTGCTGATAACGTCCGTCCACAAAGAAGGAACGCGGATGCCATGTGCTATCGGGGGGCTCCGTTTTGTGTTTTGTGTGCTAGTCCATTGTAATAAATATTGAAATGCGTGAAAGTTTTTTTTTAAAGTGAAGTTTGAGGGCCCCTTTATTCACGCCGGTATCAAGGCCGGGTGGTTCGGATAACCACGTAAAAGGGCCATGTATGTGATTCAAAAATTCGAGTCTCCCGAACGGAAGGCGACCTAATGAATATATAAGTAAGGTATCCTGAGCAGGAGGCGACAATAAAAAAGTACTGTGTTTTTCATCATAAAAAGTGTGACAAAAAAGGGGTGGCAGTAGTGCTTCGAGCAAGACCGCTGCGCCTCCCCCCGACGAAGCTTCTGTCAAATTGATGTCAATTTGGACAAATGCGCCCTAGTGGGAAGCAACGTCCATTAATTTAGAGAGAGATAGAAACATTTGGAGATCGAAGACTGGGTTATCATATTCCGTAGTAGCTCATCAAATTTGATAATACAAACCGTATATGAAGGTCTTGGTTTACATGGAAAAGTTCGTTTAGAAATGACAAAAATTTCAACTGTTATCACTCACAAACACCAAGTTGGCAACATCAGGAAATGAATTGAAAGTCAGGAAAGCATCACAACGTTTTAGTGAAGAAGCAATAATTTTCTTTCCAAATTATTAAAATAGATATAATGAATAATTATCCCCATTCAGATATCAATTCTTTGCCTATTATCAATCAATTCGTTTTCATCGACATTTTTCATATCTCGGTAGTGTGATGGGGAGTCTCTTATTATTCACTTGTTCTTTCGATTCAACGAAACTTTTATTGTTTCCTCGTAACTATCAGGTCTATGTCGCAGTCAGGTATCACTGGTGTTGGAGTACATTTCGTTTATTTAGTTTAAAATTCTCACATTCTGTATAATCATATTTGATTCTTTGTAAATCTTTGATAAAATATGCATAAGTTAGATGTGACTTGAAAGGGTTATATTTTTAGGAGTGACTAATTTTTGGGAAAGAAATTTTTTGGCGTTCTACTACTGTATACTGTAAAGATGTATAGATCATGCAAAGAAGTAACTTTCAGACACAAACTGAAAGGAAAAGCCCTCCTGAAACAGCTACTTTCATATAAACATTGAATTACACGAAAGAAAAATTCTTTCGAAACAAATACTTTTATATGAACACTGAATTATACAGAAGATAAGAGTTACTCATTTTTAGAAGATTCCATCATTTTTTATCAAGATGGAGTAGTAGAAAGCCAAAAACTTTCTTTCCCAAACATTTGTGAAATATGTCAACTCCTAATAAACATTTACAATTCCAGAAAAGAACAATTGAAAAAAAAATATGACAATCGAAGATAAGTTACTTCACGATGTTTCGATAATTAGTATCCACAATTGTCAGTCATCACCCGAAGACGACTGTATTGATTACCTCAACTTACTCATTTACTACCCTTTCATGCACTTCTGGAGTACTACTTTGAACAGACTGATCACATGTATGGTTCCTCTCCAGTATAGCTCCTTTTGTGAACTTTTAAAGCAGTTTTTCGAGCGAAAAAGAACGTAGGATTCGTTGTAGAAAGTGTAAAACTAAACTATTATGAATGTAATTTATTGAAAAAAAATGAACTAGCTGGTTTTGAATCACTTCAACGGTAGTATGACTCCTTTTGTGAATTTTCAAAGTACTATTCCGCGATTTTGAACAGACTGTCTATACGAATGGTTTCTCTTCAGTATGTCTCCTTTCGTGAACTTTCAAACTATTGATATGAGTGAAATATTTCGAACATACTTTACACTGAAACGGTTTTTCTCCTGTATGACTTTGTTCGTGAAGCTTCAAATTATTTTTCTGGGCAAAGAGTTTCGAACATATTCTACATTGAAATGGTTTCTCTCCAGTATGCCTCCTTTCGTGAACTTTCAAACCACTATTATGAGCGAAATATTTCGAACATATTCCACACTGAAACGGTTTTTCTCCTGTATGACTTCGCCTGTGAACATTCAAAGTACCTTTCTGAGTAAAAAGCTTCGAACATATGCTACATTGAAATGGTTTCTCTCCAGTATGACTTCGTTCGTGAAATTTCAATGTACTACTTTGCGTGAAAGCTTTCAAACATATTTTACACTGAAACTGTTTGTCTCCCGTATGGATTCGATCGTGAAGTTTCAAAGTACCACTATAAGCGAAAAGTTTCAAACATACTTTACACTGAAACGGTTTTTCTGCAGTATGACTTCGCTCATGATTTTTCAATGTCTTTCCTTGTGTGAAAGCTTTTAAACATATTTTACACTGAAACTGTTTTTCTCCAGTATGAATTCGTTCGTGAACTTTCAAACTACCTTTATTAGCGAAAAGTTTCGAACATACTTTACACTGAAAGGGTTTTTCTCCAGTATGAATTCTTTTATGATCTTCCAAATGACCAATTCGAATGAAAGATTTTGAACAGTTTTTACACTGAAATGATTTTTTCCGGGTATGACTTTTCTCGTGAACTTTCAAGTCATGAAGTTGCGTGAAATATTTTGTACACATTGTGCATTGAAAGGAACGTTCTTCAGTATGCCTCCGCTGATGAACTCTCAAGGCATCACTTTGCAGCAACTTGACATCTTGAATCATGTCGTCATTGTGAATATCGCTATCCTCATCCTTGATCTCTGTTTTGATATCTTTGTAGACAAGGTCTATTTCACTATCACGTTCGATTTTTATCTGTTCATCAACGTTGTCCATATCATCGCGGTAATCCATAGAGTACGAATCAGTAACTTGCAGCAACTTAACATCTTGAACCATTTCGTCACCTCGAATATCGTCGGTCACATTTTTCTCATTCATGATCTCCGCTTTGATATCTTCATAAACAAGGTCGATTTCATTATCACGTTCAATTTTTATCTGTTCATTAGTTAAACCACTATCGGACTTACTAAACGTTTCAACTGCTTGTGGTTCAATTTTCACTAAATTCGATTCGAGACTGACTTCAACAGAAACAGATTCGTTGGCTTTCTCAATTAACATTCCGTATTTATTGTTATCCATTGTCAAACGCTTTGAAGGCACGAACTTGTCTGCATATACTAAATGTATAAACCAATACAACGATTACAATTTTCGATCACAACTGACGTGATTCTGAAATTACCTTCTATTTATATGAAATCTAATTGAATATGATTGGTCGTTGTGACATACCTGGTTTTAGAAACCAGTTCATACTTACCAGTGACGGCTCGTGCATTGGAGAACAGGGGAGGCTAAAGTCATAAAGACTATGTACACACAGAAAAGCCCGCCGGAAGCGCGAAAATTTTTTGGGGTACCGCACCTATTTAAAGCAAAATACGTAATATTTACATGAATGGAAACAAAAATTGTGTATTGCCGAAAATTATATGTATAAAACTGACCATAAAAAAACAAAAACAAGGAAAAAGTGTTGTCTTTGAGTTATTTAATATAAATGAACTCTTCTCAGTCAATAAATGATAATAAAATTTTCTCTAATATAACAGTTTCGTTAAAAATTGCTACAAATAGCACAAGTACTTAATTATGATCATCTGTGACAAATCTAAAAACGATTGTGAGTTGTGATGTACCGGTAATATCGGTAGTTTCATCAATTTCCCATGCAAAGAAAGAAACACTTTCAATCTCCTTGCTTATATTTTCCTTAATAATATATGCCACACNGTTCATCTAATAACAGCTCGTCAACACGACGTAGAAAGAGAAGCTTACAAGAAGAACCCATTACCTGTGCGCTCGCTCGTTTGGAAAATATTTCTTCTGCTATAAATACACAGTCTAATTACGATGAATTCCATTATTTTGCTCAAAATGTTGCAGCTCAATTGCGAGCCCTACCATTGTACGAGGCATTAGATGTACAAAATGAGATCCAAAAAATTCTGACTGCAGCAAGACGCCGATACCAGTACCCAAATTTGTCTCCCTTTACACCTGTCACTTACACACCTCCTGCTACAAATATACAAACAATGACTTTCATACCCCCACCTACTACAAATACACAAACTTTCATACCTTCCAATACAATCACAAACTCAGTCACTTATACACCTCCTACTACAAATACACAAACAATGACAAATACACAAACAATGACTTTCATACCTTCCAGTACAAACACAAACACAGTCACTTACACATTTCCTTACTCGTTATCCCAATCAGATTCTACCGTCCCCGAAGAAGATTTGTTGAACAAAGCATGGAAAACGTGTTAAAGCTAAGAATATAAATTTTGTTAAAACAAACAATAAATACTTGATCTTACTAATAATTACTGGTTTACTTTACTTACCCGCATATAATCCTTCAGAGCATTATATATTGCATCGCACACTTCAGGTAAAAATAGAGCTATCGTAGATCTTGCAACTCGGTGAAGTGCTTCTAATGTGTATAACGAATCTCCAGTTGCTAGATATCTCAATGTCACTTCCAATTTCACTTTTGGTGGAATAGCATTTCGCATGTGTGTATCTTGTTTCTTTATAGCGCTTTCAATTTTAGATAGTAACCAGTCAAACTGATGCGGTAACATGCGCAAATGATTTTTGTAACCATTAATATCTTCTTCTCGCATTTCGACTAACAATCGAGTACTTGCTCCAAGTTTTTCTCTTCTACTTAGCCAATCACGGACCCAAATCTTCCTATTCCTTGTTTTTTTCTTTCTATCTGAGAGAAGTTTTTGGACGCATTGCAACGCTATCAAAAGAATAATTCTATTCAACTCCATACGAATGGCTGTTTGATTGTCCATGGTTTTGTTTGAACTGACAGTAAACACGTATAAAATGTTATGTGTACCGGAGTGTTTGCTTTGAGCATGCTCTTTCAGAAGCATACTTAAAACTAGCTTGCTTATATCTAGCAGATGTATACAAGTGCAGAGCATGCTCGAAACAAGTATGCCAATGAGCATACTAAAAAGCATGCTACTAACTAGCATGTGTTACTGTACCTTAATAATGTTTTACTTGCACGTGCTCATAGCACTGTAACAATTCAGCATTGTACTGTGGCGCTGTCATATACTGTGCTTATGGCGACCAGAGCTTCCGTTCCCTCGGCAATTAGCCCAGTCCAATTAGGATTTCTCAGTATGACAACGAACCAATTTTTTTTCGAAATTCTTTGGGTAGGTCATTGACAGTGTAAATTTGAATTCCCGGGGTACCAGACCCGTTGTTTCATTCGCCATATTGAACTTGGTTAATTTTTGTTTATTGAATAATTTGTTTATTTCCAATTATACACGAAAAATAGTTATTCCGTGGAAAAGAGGACATTGGCAGATCAATATCTTCAGATGATGTAGTGCTGCAGGTTTTTCCGTGTCTTCCTGTAGCTGAAAAAGCAAATGTGCAACTGGAATTAATCAAGTCGCACGGGGCGCACCAATTATTTTTTGTTGCTGTTTCATACTTTCATAATTTGCGTTACTTTATACATAAATATGTTTGGTTTTGAAAAGTTATTACAAAAGTTGTTCCAAATTTAATTTCTTATAATGTTGGCTTCCATCAATCATTTCGTAGGATCAATATTTTTAAATTTATATCGAAAAAGAGGGGGTGAATTTTTCATATCCAACGAGGACTTAAGCGACGTTAGCGAAAACTACGTTAGGACACATACGAATTCGAGTCATAAGCAATCCAAAACTAAAAAGTGAGATTCCGTTAATACCTACCTCGCACAAGTTTCAAATTCTGAATGTTGTCATTCGTAGGGGGTCGATAGCTAGTATCTGAAGAATAGAATTCATTAGACATTTTTCAATAATATCGAAATTATTTAAAAAACCGTCCAACATTTTACAAGCTGAATTTCACTAGTTCGGACTTCCACTGTCTACTATATAAAATGATTTGAAATCCCTGAAACAAGTAAAAAAAAATAATTAAAAAAGAATAGTTGAAAATAACAATTATATTAAGCAACAATAAACCTGAAATGAAATTAACTGGATGCTAACTGCATGTCGAGATAAGGGATTCCTGGAATATCTCTTACTCAGCTGAATCTCCGTGTGAATGGCCGTGTCGTGGGAACTATGACCACGTAACTCGCGTGAAAGATTTTGAACAGACTGTCTATATGAAGAATGGTTTCTCTTCAGTATGCTTCCTTTCGTGAACTTTTAAGCCATTGATATGAGTGAAATGTTTCGAACATATTTTACATTGAAACGGCTTTACTCTTGTATGAATTCGCTCGTGAACCTTCAAATTACTTTTCTGGGTAAAAAACTTCGAACATACTCTACATTGAAATGGTTTCTCTCCAGTATGACTTCGTTCGTGAATATTCAATGTAACACTTTGCGTGAAAGCCTTCAAACATATTTTACATTGAAACTGTTTTTCTCCCGTATGAATCCGTTCATGAACTTTCAAATTACCTTCCATAGTGAAAAGTTTCAAACATACTTTGCACTGAAACGGTTTTTCTCCAGTATGATTTCGTTCATGATTTGTCAATGAATTTTTTTGCGTGAAAGCTTTTGAACATATTTTACACTGAAACTGTTTTTCTTCAGTATGAATTCGTTCGTGAACTTTCAAACTACTATTATAAGCGAAAAATTTCGAACATACTTTGCACTGAAACGGTTTTTCTCCAGTATGACTTCGTTCGTGACGTTTAAAGTTACTGGCACGAGCGAAAGTTTTGAAACAGATTTTGCAGCTGAATGAATTCTCTATAGTATGACTTCTCTTATGGTCCTCCAAATGGTCAATTTGATTGAAAAATTTTGAACAAATTTTACAGTGCAATGACCATTTTCTACTATGACTTTTCTCGTGAACTTCCCAATCATGACGTTGAATGAAAAATTGTGAACACATTGGGCCTTGCAAAGAAACTCCATCAGTGTGTCTCCGCTCCTCAACTTTGATATCTGGAGTCATATCGTCATTGCAAATATCGTTATTCTCATCCACGATCTCTGTTTTAATATCTTCGTAGACAAGGTCGATTTCATCATCACGTTCAATTTTTATCTGTTCATCACTGTCCATATCATCGTGGTAATCTATAGATAACGGATCAGCAACTTGCAGCAACTTAATATCTGGGGTCAGGTAGTCATTGGTCACGTTATCCTCATACACAATCTCTGTTTTGATATCTACGTAGACAAGATCTCTCCGCTCCTCAACTTTCAAGATATCACCCTGCAGCAACTTGATATCTGTATCATCATTGCGATCCTCATCCACGATCTCTGTTTTAATATCTTCGTAGACAAGGTCGATTTCTTCATTATGTTCAATTTTTATCTGTTCATCAATGTTGTCCATATTATCGTGGTAATCCAAAGATAACGGATCAGCAACTTGCAGCAACTTAATATCTGGAGTCATGTCGTCATTGCGAATATCGTAGGTCTCGTTATCCTCATACACAATGTCCGTTTTGATATCTTCGTAGACACGGTCGAATTCATCATCACGTTCAATTTTTATCCGTTCACCAATGTTGTCGTGGTAATCCATGAAGTAAGAATCAGTAATAGCACCACTATCGGAATCAGTAAACGTTTCAACCTCTTGTGGTTCAAGTTTCACTAAATTAAGATGTTCATATGAACTGCTTGAAGTGATTCTAATTCTGAAATTGTCATTGGAGAGGATTGAAAATCCTCCGAAAAACCCCTCCACATTATTTTCCCCATGATCGTAATCAAATTCTTCAAATTTCGGTTCAAGCTCACTTTTAATTAAAGCGGTGATTTGTGTAGCACTCTTTGTTTTTTGCATCACCTGGTTTATTCAAGATGTTTCTCCAGTATTGGCTGATATTGCTTTCAAAGGTGTTATAATTGGCTCATAGATTCTGTCGAATGCTGATTGATCACCTAGGCGACTAATCTTGATATAATTGATTTTCTTTCGAACTGCATCTTGTTGCTTCATTCACTTCTTTTTCAAATATATTTCATCATCATTTTTTCTTTCATCATACATTCACTTCAAAACTATGTACAATGAAGTGTCGTCTTCACTGTCTAATACTCAAATGATTAAATTTCTCCAGAAACGTAAATGATATATGAAAGCATATAGT